CCCGATCTTCCTCAACCATGGAAATCGTTGAATCGGCCGAATGTTTCAAAGAGAGTCAACGGGAGGCTCCAGTTCCACCACGTCGAAGGCATCCTCCGGGACGGCACTTAGCCATTACTTGCAAAATAGGATGACCGGCGCAACGTACCAACTGACCTTTCTAGCCTTTGCAATATTCAGCTGCTCGACACAAATCGAGGGTCATTCATGCAGCATTGGTGGACAACTGCCCAGCCACGGGATGGGCCGAATGGCTACCACCTCAAAACTCCAGCTTTCTACGATTACGCAGCCAAGGGCCTTGACTCGGGAGGATCGGATGAGCCGCGAGATTGAGACGTGCGAGTTTCTCAAACAACATCCGCACCCAAGCATCGCGGTGTATCACGGCTGCCGAGAGAGCAATGAACGCGCAACCGGGCTGGATCTTCAACGATATCAAGCAACACTCATGTAGGCAGTCAATCCCCGTGGTTTAAACAAGCACGATTTCGCATCGGGCGACCAGCGCCATGTCACTAGCAGCATCAAATCTAGTCTAGACGGCCTTCTCGACGGTATCCGGCATCTCCATTCCCTCGGCGTGGTATAGAACGAAGCGGTGGTTTGCTCGATGGGACTATCAAACCATGCAGGTCTGGTATAGTATGGTCTACCTATGGTGGTGTGTTCCCCCAACAACCAATCAGTCATACCAGATGGCATTCATGCCAAACCCGGGCTCGGGGATGCGCACGCGTGCCACACGATGCAAAAACTCGTCCTTCCACCGGTACATCTCGAGCCAGCCCTCCTGGTCATCCGTGATGGCCATCCACTCGTCGCTCCAGTCGCACGGCGAGACGGCGTTGCTGTGGCCGCCGCTGGTCGGGGTCGGGTTTAGGCAGACCTGCCGCTCGATGCTGCCGCAGTCGCGCAGCTTGAAGGCGGCCATGTAACCCTGCAGGTCGAACTTGTTGGCGCGCGACGACGCAAACATGTACCGGCCGCTAAACGTCAGGGCCACCACGTCGGCGCGGTACAGGCCCTTGCCCGTCTCCGCGTCGCGCGCGGGGATCCCCGGGGGGATCAGCGGGTAGCTGTGGTGGGTGTACACGGGCAGGTGCGTGGCGGGGTCGATGAGGTACTCGCAGATGCGGTTGCCCGCCTCCATCAGGGCGTACAGGTAGTTGCCAGTCGGGTGCATGGCGACCCAGCGCGGATGGTCGCCCGCGTCCGGGGCGTCGACGCTGCCGACCAGCTCGACCTCGCCCGAGGGCAGCTTGCGGTGCGTCCATAGCTTGTTGGCCGTCAGGTCGGCCGAGTAGAGGTACGTCTCGGTCGGGTCGAAGACCATGCCGTGGATGCCCGTGTTGGGCTGGTACGGGTAGTTTTGGACGTTGCTTTCGAGCTTTCCGGTGGTCGACACGGAAAAGACGTTGCCGAAGCCGGCGTGTTTGTAGAAAGGGTTGGCATAGACGGCGTGCGGCGGCTGCTTGGCCGCAAGCAGGAAGATGGCGCGCGTGTTTGTGTCGGCGCTGTTTGCCAGGGCTAGTATCGAGTCAGTATACGTACGTAGCTGGGGTTGGCTTTTTAGATGGCATACGGTCACCGCCGATGGGATGCGATGCCTCATGGACAATCTCGGTCGGACTGCGGACGGCAAAGCTGGACCACTTCTTCATGGCAGCGCCGTAGATATTCTTCTTCGCATGCTGTTTCCATGGTGAGCGACTGGTGTAGCAACGTCATTCAGCGATCAATTGGAATCGTACGTCGAAGGTCATCCATGATATTGGCTCGTCGTGCGGGATCTCTGTCCGTTTGACCAGCTTCAGTGTGAGCTTCTCGTCGTCGAATTCGACTGTGAAGATGGCGCCTGGCGGGGTCCAGGTCCCAATCATCAAATGGTGCAGGGGCATGGCTAAAAATGACGTCGGCTCCTGGCGCCGGGACTTTTTTCTGCTGGAAAAACAAAAACTCAATTCAATGTTGTCGCTGCCGAACAACGAGACACTGATCGTACGATGTCGCAATTGGTGTTGAACAGAGCAATTGCTATCGCAACCAAGATGACTTGTTTCTCTACAGCAACTTTTCCCTCGGTTTGCTGCTTCTTGGCCCGCGCCGGGACTTCATGGTGAGCGCTGCATGATGAATCTTTACCCCTCGGCGTCCCCCAGTCTTCGGAATTGCGATGTGGGGTCGGTAGCGGCGGCGGTAGATGGGGGGATCGCCCAGAACCGCCACAAAACCTTGTTCCCCCGGAGTCCCCGCCGCCTAGTCTCGCCCTCTCGCAACGCGCGCACGCTGCCAATTGGAGCCGAAGGGTAAAGGCTGATCCCGGCGCAGAGACTCTGGCGAGCCTGGGGGCCTGGCGCGAAGCAATCGCGACGCCGAGCTCTCGTTCTCATACCATCGCCACCGCAGGGACGAAATGGTTGCAGATCCCCCGGTGGATGGTGCTGTGGGGTGCAGCGGATGAACCACACATGAACCAGCCGGTGTTGCCGGCGACTCATGAGATGATGATGATGGCGCAGATGGCAACGCCAAGCCCACAGTGGCTGTGGATATTGTCTGCGTGCCAGACGGGCCCGGGGCACTGTGGCAGGCACCTTGTTGTTCCAGCGGCCTGGGGATTGGAGGCAAGTTGGGATCCAGCGCCCGCCTGCGGGTTTCGGCGGTGGGTGGGTGACCCCTGTGCTCCTGCGGCTGCCGGGCCCCTGGATGGATCCCGTGGCAGGGCTAAATTTCTCCCGACTTGCCTCCTTCCCCGACCCCACTCCCGCGGTGGTGACCTGGGGACGGGCAAGCTGCCGTGACAACACCCCGATTGTTCTCAGCGGGGGAAATGATGCCACCTCGTGGTCCGCGTCCTATCACGTCGACCGCATTCATAACCCGCGGTGATAGTTCACACTGTGGGAGAGGGCGGGTTGAGGCGAGCGCTGGAAGGTGTATATAAGTCCAGACATCTTGCTCGGTTCCGATCCTCCGTTTCTCATTCCATCTTGCATTGCATCTTCTTCAGTGCCCCACACCTACATCCCCCCTCTTACACTCAATACACCGCACAACCATCACAATGGCCTCTGACAAGCCCTCCCACCGCTTCGACCCCAACTTCACCGCTCAGGTGGTTGAGGGTATGGGCCCCAACACGACTCCCCGCAACCGCGAGCTCCTCGGCTCCCTGATCCGCCACATCCACGACTTTGCTCGCGAGACCGAGCTCACCATGGACGAGTGGATGGAGGGCGTCAAGTTCGTCAACGCGCTCGGCGAGATCTACGCCAAGAGCAACAAGACCCGGAACGAGACGCACCGCATCTGCGACGTCCTCGGCCTCGAATCGTGAGTTCTATCCGCCCCCCTATTCCCAAAGTTAACCTTAATTTCTAACACCGTTTCAGCCTCGTCGACGAGATAGCCCACAAGATCGTCTCCGAGTCCGGCATGGACCCCACCTCGTCCTCGATTCTGGGCCCTTTCTGGTCTCCCAACGCACCCTTCCGCGAGAATGGCGAGGTTATCTTCCAAGACGGCGTGCCGCCCAAGGGCCGCGTGACCAAGATGCACGGCGTGATCCGCGACATTGTCACCGGCAAGCCCATCCCCGGCGCCGTCTTCGACATCTGGCAGGCCTCAGCCAACGGCAAGTACGACTTCCAGGACCCGGAGAACCAGTCGCCCAACAACCTCCGCGGCAAGTTCCGCGCCGACTCCGAGGGCAGGTATCACTTCTACTGCCTGCACCCGACTGCCTACTCGCTGCCGCGCGACGGACCCTCGTGGCAGCTGCTCACCATGATGGACCGCCACCCCATGCGCCCGGCTCACATCCACATCATGGTCACGCACGCCAACTTCCAGGGCTGCACCACCCAGCTGTACCCCAGCGACGACCCGTGGATCAAGAGCGACACCGTCTTTGCCGTCAAGGACGACCTGGTCGTCGAGTTCAAGCCGCTCCAGGGCGACGACAAGGCCGTGCTCGAGCTTGAGTACAACGTCAACCTGGCCCCCAAGGGCTACAAGGGCCGCCTTTAGGAGGTGACGTGTGATGAAGAAAGAGGAGAGATTCAACTGTACATATGTATACTGTCATGTAAATACCCAGTTTTGGGCAGCATCGTCCGGCGGAACGTTGGATTGGGGGAGGTTTGGCGAAGTTTAGCGATCAACATCTTTTAGTTTGCTCTTTCCGAGAATCATAAAAAACATGAAACATTATGAGACGCGACTCTTTGACGAGAACTGGTCACGTCATTCTGCAGCTACCAAAAAGCGCGACTTGGACTTCAGGACCAACAAACATGGGATGATGAGCACTGTGATGGGGCGTGACCCTCGTGAAGGAACATACCTAACCACGTCACATCTAACAGCGCCTCAGGGGTACGTTTTTCGGTCAGGACTTCGGGGTTGCTACCGGCGACAGTAGCAGTTTGTTGTTTTGAGTTAAAGGGGCACAACGTTCCGGCATGCAACCTCTTGCATGAGGTCACTTGGTACATTCACCGCGTCTTGCACCTTCCAGATCGTCCCAAGTTAAAAAGATTCTACTGCCGGCCAGAATAATCATGTGAGCAGCAATCAATGCATGACCCCTTTATGTACAATACCTGCGTCATGCTGCGGGCGCGATTTGGGATGACAACTTTAGGGGTTCACACGACAACACAAGGACAGGCTCAAGCGTAGACGAGTTGGTACCTGTAAGCAATGGGAACGCCCTGATCTGCCTTACCCTACCAAAATAGCCCTATGGCACGAGAACACCTGACAAGATAGGTATCTCATCTTTGAAAGCATATCTTGAGCATTCAAGACCACTTCACGTTTCTGCCTACCTACAATCCAATTCACCCACCCACCACAAGACAGCATAACAAGAAAAAGAATGACAACTTGAAAATAAAAAACGAGCAAAATAATAGCTGCCCCCTTGACGTACCCAAATTAAACGTCCAAAGGGATAGAGATAGGTAGTGAGGTAGGAAGCAAAAGTAATGACTTGACAAGGGTGAGATTCGAACTCACGCCCCTTTCGAGACCACGGAAAACTCGCAGAGTTTGGGATCAAGGATTGCACTCCTTAACGTGGCGCCTTAGACCGCTCGGCCACCTTGCCTGATGGGAAGAATTCTTGTTGGAGTTGTGTGGTGGAGATGCGGGTTTTGGTTGCCGGTGTGGATGTGTGTGGTTGGTGGAGTCGGGGGTTCCGGGTTCGCTTTCAAGGACTCCCGGGTCTCGATGACGGTCCCATCATCGACACAACAACCCTAACCCAATACCTAAACGAACAACCGGGGAGGTGTGTTGGAACTTGGATTCCGGGAGGAACGTCTTGGGTACTAAGTACAGACAGCTGGGCGTTCATAATTTTATGCTTCGATTGGTTTGTGGTGTGAGATTCCTGAATAAAACGGATCATAAGAATGCTGTGATGAGTGGTCTCTCAAATTGGAGAAGAAAGAGAATGTGGGTGCGAGTGCGTCAGGTGCCGCTGACGGGTTTGGAGGCGCAATGTACAAAAGCATTGAGAAGAAAGAATAGGTGCAAGAGGTGGATGCTGCCCCCGTCAGTGACGCGAGCAAGCCCTTCAGGCACACCTGCACAGCAAAACACATATTTTCACACGATTGTATAACTTTCTGTTGACACAATATGTACAGCAACCCCGGACTGCTCTATTTCTTCTCCTCAGTCTTCTCCTCCGGCTTCGGTGTTGGTAGCTTGAAGGAGTCGGGTGTCCGGTCCACACCAGGACCAATCTGCTCCCAGGCGCTGGATCCTCCCTCAAAGTTGCGGAACGCCTGCGTGAGCTCGAGCGGCTCCGTGACAATGCGCTTCTTCTCCTCGTCCCACCGGATCTCGGTATAGCCCGTCAGGGGGAAATCCTTGCGCAGCGGGTGGCCCTCGAACCCGTAGTCGGTCATGATGCGGCGCAGGTCGGGGTGGCCAGTGAAGAACACGCCAAACATGTCGTACGCCTCCCGCTCGTACCAATTGGCGCCGTCGTAAAGGCTGGTGACGCTGGGTACCGGCGTGGTCTCGTCGGCATACGTCTTGACGCGGATCCGAGAATTGTGCCGGACACTGAGCAGGTTGTATACAACCTCGAACCGTTGGTCGCGAGTGGGGAAATCGACGGCGGTGATTGTGCTGATCTGGGTAAACTCAGCGGCGGTGTTGTCTAGGAGAAATCAGCCACCATGCTCCAAAACAGGCCTCCTGCAAGCTCGGCGTACACTTCAAGAAGGAAAAGACCGGGATGACGCCGGACGGGCAGATGTAAATGGTCAATTCGTCCTTCCAGACCGAGAACTGCTGGATGTACTTGGGGAGACAGCCCATGAGCCATGAGCCGTACTTGTGCAAGTTGTCGGCCTTGGACTGGTACTTGTCGGCCGGGTTGACGAGGGGCACCTGGAGGGAGCCGATCTGGTCGCGGGGGGCGGCACGAGGGTTGGGGGCGTCCTTGGGCACTGCGACGCTGGTGCGGGCGGTTGTCGCGAAACACCGCAGCGCGGCCTCATTGCGAGCTGCGACCGACGGCTTCGCCGGCCGCAGGGCTGAGGCCAGGGCCCTGTTTCTGCAGACCTTGCTGGCCATAGTCGTCGGAGACGGGAGGGCGGGGGACCAATTGATCGAGAATCAGCCGGTGGCCTCGATCGAAGACGCTGCTTGAGTCTTGACGGGGTCGGCCGATTTCGAATCGACGTCGAGCTTGAGCTTGGTCCACTAAGGCTCAAGCAAGGCTTCACGTGAACAGGCACGTGATTGACAAGTTGCCTTGGTTTGGGTGAACTGTGAACTGTGAACTGTGAACTGCTCTCTAAGGATCTTGACCGGTTGCATCAAATATTTGCTTGTAGGCTGGCAAGGAAAGACCAGAGAAAGCAAGGCTGTGGACGGCGTGTCACAAAAAAGCTTTGCTTTAAAATAGTCCCGGTTCAGACGCTTCCACTCAAGACATTCAGACGGTCAGACCAGACATTCACAGACGTTGCAGGTTGCGGGCAGGGGCGCCAGTGCTCGCCTCTTCATCCAACCACAGGCGGCGCGACACGTGCAGTAACACGCTATTCCTAGAATCGCCTAGCGCAATCCCGACCCTTTTGCTCGAAAGCTCTGCGTTGCCTCCATTCCTCCTTTCAACACTCGATCAGTCCCCGTCGCCCATTTCCACCAAGCATTTCGGAGGATGCCCATGTCCTCCTTGTAAATTCCTACAGGCGTTTAGCAACGGGGTCATTTGATTTTTTTTTTCCCTACGCGCCACATCGCTGCACATTTCAGCAACACCTAATATTCACCTTCTTTTCGCGCCCTCCATCTTTTCCCGGCCAACCGTTTGCCTCTTGCCTCGATCGCCTTCCTCTCTCGCCGTCCGCATCCACGTTGACCAACCCTGCTGCATCCTGGCACCGACATCCACCCGCAACCATGGCACCACAAGACACATACATCGATGATGATGAGGACTGCTGGTATGGAAACCCTTCCTTCCCCCCAGTCATCACTCCCCACGCCGTCACCCGCCACCCCGTTGGTACGACCTCAGCCCGCTAACCGCGCATGCTAGCCCTCTCTGCATCGAAGAGTTGGATCTCTCCGACCGAAACTTCCGACCATGTCCTTGCGGATACCAGGTACGGAGAAACAATGTGCTGCTTGATTCTCCAACCATGCCACTGACACCCTGTGCAGATCTGCCAGTTCTGCTTCAACAACATCCGGACGAATATGAACGGTCTGTGCCCAGCATGCCGCCGCCCGTACGATGACAAGACCATCCAGTGGAAAGTTGTCACGCAGGAGGAGTAAGCTAAGTCGTCTCCCTGCTGGGTTGCCGCCTGCTGACCAGCAACTAGGATTGCCGAGTTTCGAGCGAATATCCAGAAGAACCAAAAGAAGCGCGCCGCCGACCAGCGTCATAAAGAAGCGCAGAAGCGCGAGGCCGAGAAGGAGAATCGCAAAAACCTGGTCGGCGTTCGGGTCGTCCAAAAGAATTTGGTGTATGTGACCGGCTTGACGCCGACGGTCCACGAGGACGAGTTACTCAAGACCCTTCGCAAACCCGAGTTCTTCGGCCAATACGGCAACATCCTCAAGATTTCCATCAGCAGTCGCAAGGGCACCGACGGCCTGAACCAGTCTCTCGGCGTTTATGTGACGTTCGAGAAGCAGGACGACGCCGGGCGGTGCATCCAGGCAGTCAATGGGTCTCAAAACGGCGACAGGGTGCTTCGGGCGCAGCTGGGAACCACCAAGTACTGCTCAGCCTGGCTGCGTCACGAGCAGTGCACGAATCGGCAGTGCATGTTTTTGCACGAGCTGGGTGACGAGGAGGACAGCTACAGCCGACAGGATTTGTCGTCGATGAATAGTATTAACTCGCAGCGACCGAACCAAAATGCCGGCAGCTCGCGTTCCGCTTCGAGGCAGCAAGCCCACCCCTCGCCGTCCCCCGCCGTCGCTCACCCCATGGCGCGGAGCTCGAGTAGAGATGGATCCGATAATGGCGACACCCCGGCTCTCCCGGCCTCTGCCAACTGGGCGCGCAATCCGCAGGTCCGCAGCCGCAGAGGCAGCCACGCCACTAGTGCTGCAGCTCCCAGCCCTGCCATCTCCAACTCGCTGCCGGTCACTGCCGAGTCTGCCGTCGAAGACGCGCCGGAACTCCCGGTCGCTGCACCCCCGGCTCGCGCTTCCCCGGCTCGCGCTTCCCCGGCTCGCGCTTCTCCGGTCGCAGCTCACCCCAGGACTCCCAGCACGGTGGTCGAGATTGCTAGGCGCATTCCGCAGGATGCTCTCAAATCCTTGCTCAAATCATTGGAGGGCTGCTCGCTGGCATGGCCCAAACCGGGTGGCGATCTACCCCACGATGAGTTCAACACGCTCTACCCCCCGCTTTTCGATATTAGGGGTGGGATGCGGCGGCGCGCTCTGCGCGCGTCTGAAGACAACAGTAGCGTCGAGGATCAGCAATCGGCGGGCGGCGTTCGGGAACCCTCAGAAGGCGAACCCGAGAGCAGCGGTAGTCTCGCGCTAGGCGGAGAACCGGAGGACCGCGATCTTGGCCGCGAGGGCCCCGCATTTGATCAGCGTCGGGTCGCGCAGCCTCCTATTCACAGAGGCAGTGCGGATGGGCTTTTTGGCCAGGCCGTCGGCTCCGGTTTTACTCAGACGGCTGCGAATCTAGGCTCGATCGGCAGCCGCACCATGACACCTCAGCAGCCCGCATTCATGCGCCCACCGGTCAACTTGGACAATCTCTCGGCGCAGGCGAACTTGTTCCAGGGCCAAGGCCAGGGCCACAACCGCCAGGGCTCGCGTTTCAGCTTTGCCAACGATGGCAGAGAGGCCGCATCGGCGACATCTGTAAAGCTCGCCGCGAACCCCCGGATCATGGCCCAGCAGTCGTCGATGATGCCGTCGTCCTTCCACAACCAGCCCGGCGGTCAGTACTACGCCTCTTCGATGCCCGGGCCGCCACCGGGACTCAAGTCGACAGGCACGCCGCCCGGCGTGTTTGGACAGCACGGGTTTGGGTCGGCCGCATTCGGCGGCGCTTCCAAGGATACCAACGAGATGCTGCAGCTCTTCCGCGGTCGGGGTGCTAGCAGCCAGGCTCATGATGCCGGAAAGCGTGAGTACATGTTTTCTTCTTTTCCTAATCAGTACCCACCTTCCACCTCCTCCACCCCAGCTCCTGCTTCGAGTCACCTGGCAATGCTCTACGGTTCTCAGCCTGGAGCCTTCCAAGACTTGGGTTTAAAGCAGAAGAAGAAGGGGAAGAAGCACAGACACGCTAACACTTCCTCCTCTGGGGGGAGTGGCCTAGTTGATCTTGCGGACCCGAGTATCCTGCAGGCGAGGATGCAGTCTCAGCAGCATCTGCAGCAACAGAGCAATGCCGGACTCGGACAGGGACTGTTCGGTGGCCAGTCGCAAGGTGGGTACAACAATCCCAGCATGATGTACAACCCGGGATATCGGGCTTGGTAATGCTGCTCCTTAGAGAGCAGCACCTTGCCCGCTATGAGCAACTGCGACATTGCTTTTTTCTTTTTTTCTTTTCTTTCTTTGCGTTATCATCACTCTTGGGGAGGGGGCAACACATGT